AAATACTCTTTTATCTATTTCGTCCAGTTAAAATTTACGGGTTACAGTCATATCGAACCCGGCATAAGATGAACTGTTGTCGATATTTGACTGCATGCATATTGTAAATATCCGTGAGTGTTCGTTAAAGATAAAATCATAGAGTAATTAAAATAACAGATAGGACACATGTGTGTATCGTTCACAATAACCCTGAGGCAGCAGAACAAGACAGAAAGAGAGCCTGTTCTACGCCGACTACGTGCAACTACTTTGGGCTTCTGCCTCTGTGTTATTATAACCGAAACACACATAAAACTTGAAAAGACGACATCTAGTGTCCTATCTGTTAATTTAATTCATCTATGGATAAAATGAAGATGATATGATACAAATGAGGTTTAAATTAAAATTGATAAATAACTAGAGAACGATGAGAAGAATTGTGAATATAGATAAATAAGATAAACCTTGATGCAAAGTTATATTTAGTGAAACTAACTAAATATTATTATTTTAATAGGTTACGTAAGGCTGAAAGATGGACAGGGAAGGGGGAGGTGGAGGATGGAGGAGGAGGGGGGGGGGGTACTGAACAGGCGGACATCATTGTTTTCATTGACTAGGGATTATAATCTAAATATAGATAATATAGATATTCACTTTATATCCCTAGACAGGAGGATATATAAAATATATATAATATATATATTCACTTTATATTCCTAGTCTGGGGGATAAATAGATTATAGAGACCATAGAGAGTTGCAAGGATTAGTGTATCAGGTTCTAATTTTAATACTTGGTTTTTATTTTAAAGTTTGATTTTTTAGGTTTATCAGGTTTATATTCCAAGATTTGGTTTATCATGGGTATATATTCCAAGGTTTGGTTTATCAGGTTTATATTTCCAGGTATGGTTTATCAGGTTTATTTTCCAAGGTTTGGTTTATCATGTTTAGATTTAGGTTTCTATTTCAAGGTTTAGTTTAGGTTTATATTCAAGATTTGGTTTATAGGTTTATATTCACGGTTTGGTTTAGGTTTTTATTGGAGGTTTGGTTTATCAAGTTTATATTTCAAGGTTTGGTTTATCAGGTTTATATTCCAAGGTTTGGTTTATCAGGTTTATATTCAAGGTTTGGTTTAGGTTTAGATTTCAAGGTTTAGTTTATCAGGTTGTTCAAGGTTTAAATTTCAAGGTTTGGTTTAGAGTTTGTCTCTGTTTTCTTCCTGAGATTTATTAATAGTCCTTCAATACCGTCTAGAGAGGAGATCTATCATACACAGTTAGATTTATTCAAGGAATCTTTAAACATAGGTAGGATATCTGGAATCTCCCCCTTCTTTAGTCCTCCAAACACTTGGGAAAGAACAATTTTTCTGGGTCGTGTCACGTCACGCTCGTTTTGCATTGAAACTCAACTTAATTGGAGGGGGCGTTATATGGAGCAGCTGGAGATATACTTCTTCACCATATATCTTCAAATCTTACCAGCTATAGGAGTAAGACGGAGCACGGGCTAAACCTTACCAGATATAAGAGTAAGACGTAGCACGGAATAAAGCTTACCAGATATGAGAGTAAGACAGAGGCAAAGACTAAACCTTACCAGATTTAAGAGTCAGACCAAAGCACAAACTAAACCTTACCAGATATAACAGTAAGACGGCGCACGGACTAAAACTTACCATCTAATGGAGTTTGGAGCACGGACACCTTACCAGCTGTAGGAGTAAGACAGAGCAAGAACTAAACCTTACCAGCTGTAGGAGTAAGACGGAGCAAGGACTAAACCTTACCATCTGTAAGAGTAAGACGGAGCAAGGACTAAACCTTACCAGTTATAGGCGTAATACGGAGCACAGACTAAAACTTACCAGCTCTAGGAATAGTATGGAGGATGAACCCTTACCAGTTATAGGAGTATTCCAAAGCAAGGCTAAACCTTACCAAATATAGCTGTAGTACGAAGTATGGACTAAACCTTACAACCTATATAAGAGTAGAGCGGAGAACGGATAAAACCAGGTATAGGATTAGCACGGAGCACGGGCTAAACCTTATCAGCTTTACGAGTAGAACGGAGAGACGGAGCACGGACTAATGTTACTTGAAACTGCAATTAAAATGATGACTATGTTCATATGTAATACTTGGTTAGAAAATTAGAAAATTATTGACAAGAAATCGTGAGTAAATACTTTCAACTACTTCTGTAGTGTAATACTAATTATATACTTTAAACTAATAGTTCCATATTCATCCAGATATAAGGAGAAAAGGAAGTATTTCCAGATATTGTTGTAGCCTGCATAAATTATAGGTTTAAGGTATGTTGGGTAGTTTAGGGAATATTCAATATAACAAGGATATGGGGAGAGGGGGGGGGGTGTAGTTAACAGAATATTTATTTTTAATATATGCATTTCGAATTTTTCTTTAGAATTCATGAAGGTTTGTAAAAATTAGTTTTAGGGAAGGACAAATCAAATATTAGATCATTTTGAATTGATCTGCAGAGATACATTAAAGGGACTGTGGAGTGTAGACGTTATTTTAAGTGATCCTCCTCTTATAAAATGGCATGTCCGATTTGCGTTTATCTGTTAGTTAAAACCCCAAAATATTAATACTTTATACAAAGGAAATGAGTTTTTGCGACAAACTTTAACTGTCTAATCTCTTTATCTTTTCGACCTAAAGGTGTAGACCTTTAAAATTTAATTTTTTTAATTATTTAATATTTGATCTAACAGAATTCATAGTATGATTGCAAAGATTTAGGGATTATAAAATCAGAGTTTATGTCAAGAAGATCTTTCGATGCTAACCCATTTTGCGATAGTAAGAAGAATTGTTTGAAGGTAACAAAATGAGGGGGGAGGGATGAATATAGAAAATGAGGGGTATGGATGAAATGGGATGATTGAAGTGAATGGATTTGAAAAAAAAAATAGATGAATGATAGTTTAGGGACTAAGCTGAAGTGGGATGAATGAGGCGAATGAATGAGAGAATATATAATTGAGGGTGTTGATGAAGTGGGATGAAGTTGGATGAATGGATAAGAGAATAGATACTTGAGGGGGTATGGATGAAGTGGGATGAATAAGGTGAATGGATGAGAGAATAGATACTTGAGGGGGTATGGATGAAGTAGGATGAAGTTGGGTGAATGGATGAGAGAATATATACTTGAGGTGGTATGGATGAAGTGGGATGAAGTTGGATGAATGGACTAATTAGATTTTTAAGGGGGTATGTATGAAGTTTGATGAATGAGGTGAATGGATGAGAGACTAATTAGATGTATGAGGGGGTATGGATGAAGTGGGATGAATGAGTAATTAGATTTTTAAGGGGGTATGTATGAAGTTTGATGAATGAGGTGAATGGATGAGAGACTAATTAGACGTTTGAGGGGGTATGGATGAAGTGGGATGAATGAGATGAATGGATGAGAGACATGATGTTTGAGGAGGTATGGATGAAGTGGGATGAATGAAGTGCCCTTTTCTCTGTTAGCTTCAAATAACTTGTTCAATTGTTAATAAATGACTTTATGAAAAATAGCATAAATAAAACCATGAATGACATAAATTTATCGAACAAGTATCAAAATAATACGGTCGTCTTCTTCTCTTTATTTCTAGGTAACCATGTTTAGTTCATAAAGGAGAAGAACTTAAAAATCGTGAATTATCAAAGCTGAAAACTTTAGAATGGTGGATATCGAAATCAATGCTTTATCTCCTCTTTTTCTTAATCTCGAGATTAAATAATGCTTGTTCTCACCTTGTTATTAATCTCCAGATTAATTAACCGATCGGGATTAAGGATATTTCATTCTAAAGTTTTCAGCTCAGGAGAGATCAATTTTGTGTCCGACAAGAGAGAGAGAGAAAAAGAGAATACTTCTATATAAAATACATCTCTGAAATTATTACTTCTATATAAAATACATCTCTGAAAGTATTACTTCTATATAAAATACATCTCTGAAAGTATATTTCTATATAAAATACATCTCTGAAAGTATAACTTCTATATAAAATACATCTATAAAAGTATAACTTCTATATAAAATACATCTCTGAAAGTATAACGTCTATATAAAATACATCTCTGAAAGTATATTTCTATATAAAATACATCTCTGAAAGTATTACTTCTATATAAAATACATCTCTGAAAGTATAACGTCTATATAAAATACATCTCTGAAAGTATTAATTCTATATAAAATACACATTTTGGAAATCCCAAGACTGGTAGTTTTCGGTGTTAAATTTTTTAACTGATGCTACAAAATTGTGTTTACTAAATAATCGTGCATGGAACAAAGACAATTTAGAAGTCGTCATTTAATTCCCATAATATTGGGACACCCTATATATATCATTAAAATAATATCTTCTATATGAAATATATCTCTGAAAGTGTAACTTCTATCGAAATATATCTTTAAAAGTATAAACACTTTCTGAAATATATCTTTAAAAATTTAAACTTCTATCTTAAATATATCTCTGAAAGTGTAACCATTTTTTTCTGAAATATATCTCTAAAATTGAAACTAATAATATCTCTGAAAGTCCTTTCAATTGTTATTTTAAATTATAGAATGACAAATGTAGCATATTCTACTTTTTATTTCTTTTATTCTTTGCACTAAAATTGCTATTTATATTTCCTTCAGTATTAAAATTTATTTAACCGAAGAAACTGAATATCGTCTTTCATGAAAATACAGCGGGATTATATCTTTTGTTTAGATGCCTCCAAATCAGTAAAGGAAACGTACAGGGCGTCCCACAAAACATGACAGTTGACAAATAGCTATAAATGTCGTCTTTCATATATTGAATTAGATATTAAAGGCTTTTTCAGTTTATTTTGTTAAAAAATTATTTTGCTTAAAGATATTTTATTTTGAAATCAATTTTACTATAACATGACTACCAGATAATATTTTTATTATTTTCTTTGGTATCAAACAACCTAACAAATTATGGAAGAAATTCTAAAGTATTCACCAACTGTCATTTTTTTTGGGACACCCTGTATACAAACTAAACAAAACAAAAAGTGAGATGCAGATAGTAGAACAGTTTATTTGATGCTCCCCCAAAACTGTTGTCTTGAGCTGAGAAACATCATTCCATCCTCAGCAACCTAAATATTAATTAAACTAATAAAACTTAAAAAAACTATTCCAATTCCTTCCAATTTCAAGTTGGCGCTATATTTAAATAGTAGTGTTGTCGGATTCAAAATTGATGAGCGTACTTGCCGTGCATCAGATTTGTGTAAAGAGATTTGTGTGGTGCTGATTATAAATAGTTTTGGTTGCACTCCTCCCCATCATTGTAAAGAAATTTGTGTGGTGATCATTATAAATAGTTTTGGTTGCACTCCTCCCCATCATTGTAAAGAGATTTGTGTGGTGATCATTATAAATAGTTTTGGTTGCACTCTTCCCCATCATTGTAAAGAGGGTTCCTTTCTTAATTAACCATTAGAACTGAACTACTGCTTTTAAATACTCTTTTCTCCAGGTATATAGGGTGTCCCACGAAACATGACAGTTGGTGAATAGTTTAAAATGTTAATAGTTAACTTGTTTGATATTAAAGAGAATGACGAAAAATATTGTATGCCAATTGTATTATTGTAAAATGAATTTCAAAGTAAAATATATTTAAGAAAATGATGTTTTAACGAACATGCAAAAAGTCTTTTAAAACTATTCAACAACTGTCATGTTTCGTGGGACACCCTGTATCTACCTCTCTGTAGTATATTTGATCTGAACCAGAAAATAGTTGAATAAGTGTCGTCTTCATTCTTTCATTTAATTGTAAACTGTCAAATAAAAGGGGTTTGTAACTTTTATAACTGATATCTCTGAAACTTTTCAGAAATCAGAACTTTTGTTGAAAATCCTGGGAGGCGGGGGTCAAGCATTAATCTCCATCTTATGCATACTTATGCATACTTATGCATACTTATGGATTATTCTAATTACTCTGAGGTTATAAAAATCTATCGTACATTTTTTTTATAAAAACTTCGCTAAGGTATTTGAAAAAGGTTCACCTGACAAACCCCAAACTTTGCGGTTTTATTATTTTCAGTAAATGTTAAAGGACTAGAGGTATGTTCTCCATCCATCATGGTGATATGCAGACACTCTAAAAACTCGTAATCTTCCTAGGTAAAAACATTTGTTTCAGTAAGTTGAAAACTTGTCACATGGAAGGATGATAATAAATGTCGTCTTCTCAAAAAAGTTCTTTTACCTGCAATCTCTGAACGGTAAGCATAGATAGGAACAAATTATTATTAAATATTGAAATAAAGATAGTTTTAAATATTTCGATTTTAAAAAATCTGTTTTATTACCTTATCTTCCTTCAGTGGGTTTTTGGTAGTTTTTGACTTCAGCCTTAATAAAAATGATTTCTTTATGATTAAAGTAAAATGAATTTGGTGTAGGGATCAGTCTTCAATAGCAACCTGAAACTCTGTTAATATGACGATCTAAATGTTGAACTTGATACAGATTCTCGGCCATAACCATTATTTGCAAAAAAGAGAAAAGTGAACATATTCATGGAGACATCAATACAAGAAAAAGGATTAAATGAATTCCGTCCAGTCGTCTCTGAAGTTTATCCTTAGTGGGTAAGCCGTTATACGTATCGATATTTGATAAAACTGGTTCAGAGTCACCAATTATCACCTTGATTTTTGTTGCTGGGATGGGAGTAAACAACCTTCGGGATTATTCACAGACCTTTTAAAAAGATTATTAAGTAATAGAATAATAATAGGATAATAGAATAATAATAGAATAATAGAATAATAGTAGAATAATAGAATAATAGTAGAATAATAATAAAATAATAGAAAAATTGCAAAATAGTGCAGAATGATAGAATAATAATAAAATAGTAGAAAAATAGAATAATAATTGATATATTGAGAATATTAATCTAGAAGACTAGAAGAAGAATAATAATCTAAATAATAATATTTATTATCTGAAGTTGCAAAATCCAAGAGTATGATAGAAGAAATATTATTGAATTTACCTAAGTTTATTTTTTGTTAAAAACCCCTGCAATCCATCAAACTAAATATAAAGATAAAATTAATTATTAAATGATAACCAGAATAAAGCAGAATTATTAAATGATAACCAGAATAAAGCTTAATTCTTTGCACCTTAATTCTATAAATGAATTAGAAATTTAGAAAAAGGTTTTTGTGAATTTTTACTTATTATGATTATAGTCTAATTATGTAGAAAGTTGTACTTATCAACAATACAGATGTATATCAATAATCTCAGTTTTTCAAATTGATCAAAAAAGTATTGTTTAAACCTTGAAGATATTTGCTGGGAGACTATTAGAGATAGTTTTCCTGGCTTTTATAACTCCCAGTTGGAACTCTTCATTATCCGGAGCCAGAGCCTGAACACAAATTAAAACTAGTAAAATATAAAAAAACAGGCTTTTAGGGCGCTTCGTGCCCATCTTCTTTTTCATGTTTTAATTGTGGCTTTATCTGTGAGCATCTTCTCTTTTTACAGAATATAAAAAAGTTAGCTGATTTCATAATAATTTTTTGTGCTTTTTCAAAATTTTATAAAAATAAAAACTTTTAAACAGTAATTTTTTGACATTTTGATCATTCATAAACCTTCCCTGGGGTCACGTGAGGTCCCACACAAAGTTTGGGGCCGATCTGTTTAGCTGTTTTGACGTTTATTGGATACAAACAAACTTATAAATTCAAATTTATGACTTTAAATAGTCCAATGAACATGAGGAACGGCAACTGTGCAGTGTAAACAGCCCCATTTCACTTAATTAAATGATTTAAAAAACTTATTTGCTTTGTAACGACATCAAATGCACTTCGGTATTGCTTTAATGTCGTCTTCCTATTTCACAGTTTTCTGGTTATCACTGTACGTACCTGTCCTTTGTGAAAGCAAAGCAAAGCATGTTCAAAATGACACATGTTGAACAGAGATTCGCCTTTTCCGTACATAGCTTTCACGTACTGTACATAATGTTAGAATGTTGTAAGTGCTATGTATATGACAGAAATGGGGTTCCCTTTCCTGTACATAGCTTTAAAGTACTGTAACATGGATGCTGGGTACTGGATATAATATCTATATCTATAACTTGATGGTTAATGTTGAAGACGACTTCTATCTATTCCATAAATTTATCATAAATTTCAAGTATACTGTACAATATAGTTTGTTAAAAGCCTATTAACAACTTTTACTGCGTCTAACAAATAAATAAGCTCTGTATTATTGAAGATTAAACACTGAATCAGGGGGTTTTAAATAGATTTAAATATAAATCTGAGTGTTTGAAAGATGAAAATCTAAACTTGCAATTTTTTTAAGATGTAGAAATTGGTAGAAATAAACCTGTGGGTTTTGAAGAAGAACTTCCTCCGCGTCAAGCAAAGCCTCCTGAAAAAAAAGAATTAAAAGGTTTCACCATTACCCTTTATACCCCTTTACTTCTTCAATCCTTTACCCAGTCCACCCCTTTATCCACCCTTTCATCACTCTTTCATCCCTATTTACTCTTTCATCCCTATTCTCCCCTTTCATCCCCATTTACTCTTTCATTCCTATTCTCCCCTTTCATCCCCATTCACTCTTTCATCCCTATTCTCCCCTTTCATCCCCATTTACTCTTTCATCCCTATTCTCCCCTTTCATCCCCATTTACTCTTTCATCCCTATTCTCCCCTTTCATCCCCATTTACTACTTCATCCCCATTATCTCCTTCACTCTCATTAACTCTTTCTTCCCTATTCTCTCCTTGAACCCAAATTTACCCTTTCTTCCCATTCTCTCCTTGAACCCTATTTACCCTTTCTTCCCATTCTCTCCTTGAACCCTATTTACCCTTTCATCCCTATTCTCTCCTTCAACCCTATTTACTCTTTCTTCCCCATTCTCTCCTTGAACCCTATTTACCCTTTCTTCCCATTCTCTCCTTGAACCCTATTTACCCTTTAATCCCTATTCTCTCCTTCAACCCTATTTACCCTTTCATCCCCATTCTCACCTTTATCTCTTTCTTCCCCATTCTCTCCTACCCCCATTTACTCTTTCATCCCTTTTCTCTCTTTCATCCCCATTTACTCTTTCTTCCCCATTCTCTCCTTCTCCCCCATTTACTCTTTCTTCCCCATTCTCTCCTACCCCCATTTACTCTTTCATCCCTTTTCTCTCTTTCATCCCCATTTACTCTTTCTTCCCCATTCTCTCCTTCTCCCCCATTTACTCTTTCTTCCCCATTCTCTCCTTCTCCCCCATTTACTCTTTCTTCCCCATTCGCTACTACCCCTATTTACTCTTTCTTTCCCATTCTCTCCTTCACTCCCATTAACTTTTTCTTCCCCATTCTCTCCTTCACACCTATTTACTCTTTCTTCCCCATTCTCTCCTTCTCCCCCATTTACTCTTTATACCTTCCCCTTTCCCCTCATTTACTCTTTATACCTTTCCCTTTCCCCTCATTTACTCTTTCACTCCCATTTCCCTCTTAACCTTTACTTCACTTCTTTCAACCCCTTCAACCTTATTAATACAGGAATGTATTAAGTATCTGAGTCTGCATCTGCATCATAACTTTTGCCATTTAATTGTGCCATGGACTTGGTAATAAACTATGGACTTGGATGCTAATAAAAAGTAATCCATAGATCAAGATTTAAAGTTGAAAAGTAAAAAAACCAAGAAGTGTATGTTCAGATACCTCCCATCTTCCAAGCTTCAAGTTGCATTTACTCCGGGTAGCAAGAACCTACAATAGTAGAAAAAAACTATTGAAATTATAACCGTGCAAATCTAAGGAGAGTTTTCGCGTGAATGAAAGATAATTCAGAATGAACCATAATTAGACTATAAATTAACTGGTAACACTTTTATTTCTGTCCGCTAGCAGGAAGGATAGCGGCGATCAGCTCCTTATACTAAATTATTTTTGGGTCTTAAAGAACACAGGTTATTTCAATTTCTCACATTGGATTGAAATAAACCCCCTTACACTCCTTCTCTAACGGGAATTATTTTAAATATTCTTTAACGAGGCTCTAGGTCTTGGGATGAATTCTTGAATGTCTTGATAAAGTAATATTTCTCCAAATGAATCCGGTAAATGGAACGGATATCAGAACTGGAGCTCTTGTATTGTGGATAGCGTAGACCACTGCTCAATCTCGATCTTTTGTTAATCTGCAGATTAATTTATTATTTATTCGTTATCCGCAGCATGTAATTTTACCCGGAAGGGATAATTGAAATGAAGAGATTAAGCATGGATCCTCAAATTAAGAGAGCACACAGTGGATATTGAGATCAAGCGATCAGGATTATGAGAATCCAACAAAAAAGTTCCAGCTCTGGCTATAAATTAAGACAATTAGGAATTGAGTCTATTGAACAAAATCAAATATTTAAACCTCAATATCTTTAAAAATCGATGTTGTAAACCTTTGATATTTCAAACTCAGATTATTTGATCTAACAGAATTCATAGTTTGAAATATCTAAGGTCTGCAACATTTGGTTCCAAAGATATAGTGATTAGAAAATCAGAGTTTGTGGCAAAGACTCAATTCCTTTTATTGTTTGATTAAGATTTCTCTCACCTCAAGATTCCCAGGATCCATACACACAGCACTGTTAAGATGGATCAGAGCAGCCTAATTTAATATACTGTTATTTTGGTTTCAAGGATTAAATATTATCTTATCTAAATATAAAGTAGTAATCTCTGTTTGTCTGCCTGTTTGTTTGTTATTCCGATCTGACTCAGGAACCTCATAAACCGATTTTCCTCAAATTTTGATTGGATTATTCATTAGAACCAGGGGATTGTTCTTTAGTTTGGTTTAAAACAAAAGCTTAAAATATTAAATTTATTTATGTTTGTTTTAAGTATGCTTCTCCAGTAAACGCCTGAATTTTTTTGTGAGCCTCTAGTCAGGGTTGGCTGATAACAAGTGAGAATCTCATAATTTATAACAAAAAATATCTTATATTTTTGTGAGCCTCTAGTCAGGGTTGGCTGATAACAAGTGAGAATCTCATAATTTATAACAAAAAAAAATTTATATATTGACAAAAACAGAAAATCTGTGAAATGTTTCATGTTTAAGAAAAAATCCTGAAAAACGCCAAGAGATTATTACTTGAAAGAATGGGGCGAAGCACCTAGAATTGTATATTTATGTCTCAAATTCCAACCAATCCTGAAAGTTCATGAACCTCTAAGGGTGAAAACACAGTTTAGTAATATAATAAAAGTTTAAAATGAAATATAAAATACTGCGGTAAAACCTACCTCGTTTCTCCCAATCTTAAGAAAATGTTTGGCCTGCCTAAATATAACAAGCAAAGAGAATAGAATATATATTAGAGTGAATTTAGACAATCCCTCGGTATGAATTTTCTCAGTCCCTTTCAGCCTGAAAGGGAGTTCAAGGTGTACAAATCATGTAAATGTTCACAAATTATATGCAGTAGAGTACATTAATACAGTATATTCCCTAGACTATCCATTTCAATTTAGAATTTTTTAAACTGTTAAATAAACTTTATAATGAATTAGGTGAATAAAAAACATCATTTGATCTATAGTTATAACGGAAAATCATCGTTTGTAAAGTGGAAGTCTATGTCTATGATCATTGGTCAATCATGAAACCAGCCTATTTCATAATTTGGTTTTCTTTTAAAATAATTTTAGATTTTCTATAAAATGATATTCCAGGGCCCAAAAGGTTATATAGCACAAATATGTGAAGTACACCTGCAGTATGGAAGCAGTACAACAAAATGGCCTTTTTACACTTTTTTTTTAGTAAATTCCACTCTAATATATATTCTCTTTGATAACAAGGGATTAACAAGACACTGCAGAAAATATAAATGACTTGTCAATTTAATTAAAACTTCGAATTCTTAAATAAGCAAAACTTACATTTAATCAGACTGCAGCAATAGTTTCTCAAAACTGAAAGACCAAGGTGTGGAAAATATCATTAATAAATTCAAATGATTTTTTAATATTTTTACTACACATTCTAAACGGTGAAAACGCTTCAAAGGGAACATTCACGAAAAGAATAAGAGGATATTGGCTAAATTAGAATTGATCTTGATATGGATCAAATTCCTTTTTTCCGATGTGTCTGTCACAAGACACTGATAGAAAGTAGAAACGTTCTTAAAAAGTTTTTTGAAACCCGGCAACCCTTTAACCCCTTGCTTTATACCTGAGTAAAACGTTCTCATCAGAGGCCCCTGGTAATCTAAAAAAAACGATCTGAACAAACTAAAAAATAAACATACACAAATCACAATCATTTTTAACACTTTTGAAGATTTTTTTATTTTATTGTCATTATTGTTTTTATTATCATGCATAAATTTTTTTTATTGATATAATTAAATATCAAAGAAAACAATTGAAACAAATTTTAAAGCCGAAAACTAAGAAAAATGGTCCTTTATGTATAAAGCTCGTCGGCTTTTTGAAAATTTACTCTGAAAGTTCATGCGAAAATAATATAAGGAATTTGAGTATTTGCCAAAATAGTTTTCTTGAAAAATGATGAAAACTCTCTTTAGCTAACATATTTACCACTCACCTGTCCTCAACAACCTTGAGACCTGAGGCCTTCATCTCTTCTAAAAATATAAAAAGTATTAATGTCCGGAAAAATGACCGAAAAACGCAGAAACAATGTCGTTTTTATTAACCAAAAAATCATTAAAAAGGAAGAAACCTAATCAAAAATCTCCAACCAATTTATAAAACAAATCACAATTTTACATATAAAAGTTAGATATTTGCAAAATTTTTGAAAAACACAAAGAAAGAAAATTTTGGTTTTCTTACTTTTAAGATCAGATCCATCTAGGACTACAGATATACCACGTTGTTTATCAACATACTGAACTTCAGAACCTCCTTTAAACTTGAGACTGCTCACTTTCCTCCTAGAGAATATTAGGTTCATTATTTCATAATTTCATCCCCCCCCTTTCTAATTCTGTCATTTTCTATCATTGTTTCTATATACACGGTTCGGTATTATGGCTTTTTTATGATTTCCCTTAATTGTTTGGATTTTTGTTTTCACTATGTTTGGTTTTATGAATTCAAAAAACTGTTTGTTTTTCTGATTTCCCTAAATTGTTTGGTTTTATGATTTCCTTAAATTGTTTGGTTTTATGATTTCCCTAAATTGTTTGGTTTTATGATTTCCCTAAATTGTTTGGTTATTCTTGGTTGCATTATCCAGGAGTAAGGTTTCACTGCTACTGACAGAATAATCAAATATTTGACGGATTTTACGTTAGTTTCCAGTACCCCCCCACCCTCCCTTTTTCTGGAGGGGGGGGGGGGTAGGAATACTCCCCCCCCCAAATTTTGTGGGGAATATTCCTTATCCCCCCCCGTTCTGTGAAATAGTTTCCCATTTAAATTTTCATTAACATAAAAAATGGAAAGATTTATGAAAAAATCAACTGGAATCAAAGTTATGTAAACCTGTAAAAGTTCCAATTCTTTCAGAATAATGATTTAAAAAACTATGTACTTTTGCACTGCAAATTGCAAAAATGCGAAATTTATTTTGCCGCATTTTATCATTTATTCCGGAAAACATTTATTAGTCTGTATTGAATATAATATTACCAAAGAACGGGTTAAAGGGGAAAACAGGTTTAGCCAGGTACGCTGATTTATGTTATTGTGAAGTAAAATAAACATGTTTCATTTGTTTAAAATGCTAAGGAGCGTGTTCAGGATTTTTCTAGGGGGGACTTACATTTTTTCTTTCTTTCTTAGGGGATGGCTCAGGATCCATTAGGGACTAAACCCCCTATAGATTTCATTGACCCAGGAAGGGCTGAACGCCCATAGACCCCCCCCCCTGAAACTACTATGAAAATTCTATTCCAATATTGGTATAATACATACATACGAATTACGAATACGAATTATCTTTAATTTCAAGCTAAAAACAATACTACTACTCTAAATAGAACCATGTTGTAAAAACTGGTTCTAAATATATGATAGAAATCTAAAAAGATATGGCTGGGGACTAAAAACCACAAAAAAGCTTTTTGTTCGTTCCTCTCAATGTAAAGAAGATGAAAAAAACTGCCACTATTTTATTTTCAGCTTTCTTAAATCCAAATATGATTAAAATTCGACATATTTTAGTATTAAGTCTTACATTTTTTATCCAAACCAAATTCTCAAGACTAAAAGTTTCTAAGGTCGTAAATTATTAATGCTAAATAACCAGAAGTTTTTGAGTTTGGCGAGAAGTAGTTCAAAAGTAGGATGATTATTGAATTAGACGTCTGATGTTGTAATCTGTGAACAAGAGAGTAGATAGTTGAACTAGCCGAGGCTGTCTAAACTACTTTTATTTTGTCACTTTTTTTCTTGATACCAATATTTTGCTTCAAGATATATAATTATGAAAACATTAAATAAAAATATTATTATTTTATTGATTTTATAAATTTTGTTTATCACAATTGTCATCACATGATTAAATGTCGACAGAACACAATTTATTTAAAATATTCTTTTTTTTCAAAAATAAATTGTTAAAATATTTGATTGCTATTGCTTTGGAAAAATAAAAATATGAGGTACACCTTTTTTATGAAATATATCATATTTTCAGAATATTTTCTTAATTTCACACTTTATCAATATTGCAAGGATTAGTTCCACAGGGCAGTTGGTTTATCACAGGTTTCTCCATTTCCTGACAGAGATGCTGTTCAACCTTCTCTCCGCTAAACTCACAGCTATGCTCAACCTCAGCCCAACCCCCTCCACAGTCCACGGGACAACCTTGAACCTGGATTCTCCAGGACGCTCCGTGTCTTTTCTCCAGGGTTAAACTCAGGTTACCCCGGTCCTCTGTAAGGTTTACAGTATGCTCCGGGTTGACAAGTTGATGGGTTCTAAGATTCCGGGAGGATTGGCTCAGGAATACTGAAGGGTTCTCCTGGACATAAGCTAGACGGAGATTTGTAAATACTTTGGTAAACAAGGGATCATACCAGGCCGGACAATCATCTATACCGTTCTTAAATCTTTTATTATTTGAAGGAGAAGGGTTGGTCGAGTTCGGAGAGACGTTTGTACTCAGGGTGGACGCAGTAGTCGGAGGAGCGGCCTCTCCTACAGGTATCGCTACTATTGGAGAAAACGGAGAACATAATCCTTCCGTGCAAATAGAACCATACGGGTAAGGTTTAGAGCTACAATCCGTTCCTTCCAGAGCAGGATGTGCTCTAAGAGCGTGAGTAACATTGCTGCACCAAAGCTCTCGGCACAGATCTTCAAATGGACTTTCTATCTTTACGTACGGCGAAAAGCCAGAACCAAAAGCCTGTCTACACTGATCTATTGCCTTGAACTTTTCCCCAGGTTGTTTTCCTCCTAGACTGAAATCATATCGAGATAATCCTGTCGGTACATCGTTGAGACACATCGCTTGCGCTTTCGTTTTCAGGTCGTTTAAGAATCCGTTGAGCTCCTTGTCTGAGCAGAGAGACCAGCTAACCTTACCCGGACCAAGGACGGGAGACATTAAGGATAAGTTCGGGTCACAGGAGTTTCCCTCCCCGGTCTCTCCGTCGTGGTTCATTCCGAGGTTGTGTCCCATCTCATGTGCAATCACATAAACAGATTCAAAATTGTTCCCCTCGTTGATAGTGCAGGAGTAGTCGGGGTGACACATCCCGGATACCCAGGCTAAACCAATCACACTGTCCCGGTCCGGGGTTCCATCAAACAAGTTGTATCCAGTGAGGAGAAGAGCATGGTCCCAGTGGTCGTCGTTGTTTATATCACCATTGACTGAATCTCCGGGATTCTTTCCCCGTTGCCAACCACAGAATGCTTCCAGATACTTTTCTATTTCTCCGCTGTTTGTGTTCAGACTAGGGTCCGGAGTTTGCATGATATCCAGTCGGAGTAGGACTAGTTTCAGTTTGTTTGTCAGTTTACTGGACTGGTAGATGATCTGTACTGCGTTTAAGTACGCGAATACAATATCTTGGATTTTCTGAAGCGTTGTTTCTCCGGGTTGTTTATTATTCTCTACATTATCATACATCTTGGAGTCGATAAACACGGCAAGCTCTATATAACGATCTTTAGTCGATCTTTTCTTCCTAAGAACATCTTCGCTTAGTCGTATCACAGGACGATCTTCGACCATCAATCTTTTCTTATTACGAGAATTGATTCCGCATTTATGATCAGAATTTGACTTCTGAATTATTAATATTTGCAAATCTTTATCAGACGGGTTGGTTGGAGCTTGTCTCTTTTCTCTATCACTTGTTACAAGAGTAAACTGTACCCCGTCCAACTCTACAGTTCCAACCACTTCTCCATTGCAGGTTGAGACAGAAACTTGAATTTCAAGATCGTTTGAAGAATATCCTCCGGTGTAAATACAGGTTGGGAAGGATTGGGTTCGATCCACAGTAGTGTTTCTCCCATTCCGAACCCAGACCGAGTAGCGTGGTGAGACAAGTGTATTTACCGTCCTCAATCTTATCTCTATTTCCGGGTCTACAAGGTGGAGAGATATCCTACCCGCCCCCCTGCTCCTGATATACCCTGAGATGGTTGGATTCTCCGTCTGCCAGGACAGGGGTAGCAGGAGGAGAGATAAAATCAAGGTTATGAGGTTTCTCATGTTCCCGCATTTTCTTGTGAGGTTGGATACCTCAATACTCCGGGTGACATTGAGGCCGACTAACCATACTCAACCCAATACTTAAATAAGGGTATATATAGATGCAATATTAAAAAAAATATTCAAGAAATTTGAAAGTTATTTGATAATAATTAATTATCGTTTTTTCTAATAAAAAATATTTTTTACCCTAATGGGAAGGAAATCGATGGGTTGAGGGGCAGCTTTCTACCACCTCTCCCCCCCTCTTCCTTAGGAACAAATTCGTGAACAAACAGACAACTTTGTTGTTGCAATGGTCGACCTTGGATCATTTTTTAAGGTCAAAATTTTAAATATACGCAAATTTTATTTAATCAGTTTTTAATTTAAAACTCTTAAAAAAATTTTGTACGACTCTTCAATTTCAAAATTTATCAGTAACCTTCATAATACTCACAATGTAACATTAACATTACAATGTTTTCTTGAGAGTTTCTTCTTCTTTTTTTCTTTTTTCTTTTTCGCTTTTTCGCTTTTTGGAATGTAAAAATATAAATAAAGTGCTTAATGCAACTATTCAAATTCGGAAATCCCCCAAACTAAAAAATTAATCAGAATTGCATAATACATAAAAAATGCATTTGATTGCATATATCAAGTAACATGAAACCATTTCAACTAAAATTAAATCAGAGGATACTTGGATACTGTCCAAACATGTAACTCAAGCAAGGTTGTATAGTAAGGTTAGATAATCTGGATGCGCTCCGATGTATGCAAAGACGACTTTTATAGCAATGGACACTAATACCTCATATGAAGTCACTGCTTATTTTAAAGAATAATAAATTTTGCGGCTCACTAAATATTAACCAACTCAAAAATTGAAAACTTGAATTAGAATTGCAATTTTTAGCTTTAAACTTGTTAGCACAATCAATTGTTAAATGTAATGATTTTTAGTTGGGTTCAGTGATGTCATATTAGGTGTTAGATTATCCATTGCTATAAAAGTCGTCTATACCTACATTGGAACGCATCCAGATTACCTACCCTTGTATACAACCCTGAACTCAAGTCACATGAAAATAGTGAGACCTAAATTTGACAAACCCTAAACTAGTTTTCTGTGCGTACTCTGCAGTGACCTTCAGTAGATTGACCGAGGAAATAATAGGCCTCTGGGTTTTAGTGGAGAGTGGACATGGGACCGGAACTGTGGAGAGTGGACATGGAACCGGAACTGTGGAGAGTGGACATGGAACCGGAACTGTGGAGAGTGGACATGGAACCGGAACTGTGGAGAGTGGGCATGGTACCGGAACTGTGGAGAATGGACATGGAACCGGAACTGTGGAGAGTGGGCATGGTACCGGAACTGTGGAGAATGGACATGGGACCGGAACTGTGGAGTGAGCATCTAAATCGTTTTTTATAGGTTTCTTTTTACATGAAAAATATAGTCAAACTTGTCACTCCTGAGTTTCCTACTTTATTTGTATAAAAATTGTTCTTCTAAAGAAAAAAGTTTTCTTTTTCCTTGAATCTCTCTTTTCATTCCGCTGCTTCGCTCGCAAATGGGTCACATCAAATAGATTATCAAGAACAATAGATGGAAACAGAGAAATGGACCGAATATATATGACGTCACAAGTGTCAAATATAGCAAGGAAGACAACATTTTCTCCCATTGGTTTACATGTTTTCCAAGATTAAATAAAAATTGTAAAAACAGAAAATAAAGAACACATAAAATTGCACTTATTTTACTGTAAGATAAGCACTTTATTCTAAAATTATCACTATTATTAATAATTTTCTCGGACACAAAAACAACAGGGCGTCAGAATACAGTTGTACTGAGAGTGTACAAATTCTACGTTGCCATCTATTGATAATCTATTTGGGTCACATACATACCAGCTGGAGTAGACTCGCACATATCTATTTTCAAGTTCATGGTCCCCAAAGAGGTGAGACAAATAGTAGCCTTCCGCACAAGCCAAAAAGGGTCCAGTACAGAGTCTAGTACGGGGTCCAGTACAGACTCCAGTACAGAGTCCAGTACAGGGTCCAGTACAGGGTCCAGCACAGGGTACAGTTCAGAGTCTAGTACGGGGTCCAGTACAGACTCCATTACAAGGTTCAGTACAGGGTCCAGTAAGGGGTCCAGTACAGGGGCCAGTACAGAGTCTAGTACGGGGTCCAGTACAGACTCCAGTACAGGGTCCAGTACAGTGTCCAGTACAGACTTCAGTACAGGGTCCAGTACAGGGTCCAGTATAGATTGTGAATCAAAGTTTTAGTTATAAATTTAATTGCAAAAGAAAATCTTGAAGTTTAAAATATTTCTTGCAAATATTCTAGGTTAGGTTTTAAATTATACCAATTTATAAATTGTGATAATCCAGAATCTGGGTTAATTACAAAACTGTTAAAAACAAAATGCCTTTGCGGAATTAAACTACATAGTTCAGAAACATTAGTGACTAGCTTGGGAACCCGGCGTTGCCCAGGGTACTCAGTTACTCCCGACGTTTACCCGCACTTTATCGTAAATTAATATTTTAGATATTTTTGACAGTTGACACCCACGCTCAACTTAGAATCTCAAATCAAAGCCAAGAGCATTCCCATGGTTCTTCCGAGTTTCCCTAATCATAATTTGAGGCCAATCGGTCCAGGTGTTCCTGAGTTATGATCGGAAATCCAAACAAACAAACAAACAGAAAGATTACTAATCTAAAATCAATAATAATTTAGAAACAATGCTAATTTAGAAAAAATGCTAATTTAGAAACAATGCTAATTTAGTAGTAATGATAATGCAGAAACAATGCTTACTAAGAAACAATGCTAAGGAATCGAGTCTTTGCAACAAACTCTGATTATCTATAAATCCCTACAATTTTGCAACCCAATTTTGTTGACCTTTGATATTTCTTACTATGAAGTCTGGTAGCTCAAATAACAAAATTAACACCATCAGGTTGCAAAGATAATGTGAATATAAAACAACTGATTTTTAAACTTTGTTACACAAAAAAACTAAAATAATACACTGATAAGCAAAAAATCTGGTAATTTAAAACTATTAACCAACTGGGACACCATGTATCTAATAAAACTTTAATCTCCATGTTTCTTGGGACACCATTTATCTAATAAAACCTTAATCTCCAAGTTTCTTGGGACACCGTGTATCTAATAAAACTTTAATCAACAGTGCTTATAGTTTTATACAAATTCAACACACGCGTATTGAGGCAAAAACTTTTAGTTGCCGTGACGCTCAGTTACATCGACTGCACTTAATGTCTCCGTATCATGCATATGCTTTTTGAATATATAGGATATAAGTTCAATTCCAGAGGTATACAGAAAATCAGCAAAAAGATATTTGAACAGATTTAAAACACTTGATTTGCTAACTATGATCGCAAACTATAAAATTGAATTTATACGAACATTTTAAAAATTTTTAATATTTTGGATATCGGAGATTTTGCAAAATATTATAATGCAGAGAAATTGTATTGTAATGAAATAAACAAGAATTATAATGTATTAAACGTGTATTTTAATGCAGTAAAAATGCATTATGAACCAGAAAAATTGCATTGTAATGAAATATAAAAGAATTATAATGAATAATAATGCAGAAAAATTGTATTGTATCGAAATAAAAATGTATTATAATGCAGTAAAAATGTGTTTTAATGCAGTAAAAATGTAGTTTAATGCGGTAAAAATGTATTCTAATTCAGAATTATAATGTATTATAATGCAGAGAAATTGTATTGTAATGAAATAAAAATGTATTTTAATGCAGTAAAATTGTATTATAATGCCGTAAACATGTATTTTAATGCAGTAATCATGTATTTTAATGCAGTAAGAATTATTTTAATTCAGTAAACATGCATTTTAATGCAGTAAAAATGCATTTTAATGCAGTAAAAATGTATTTTAATGCAGTAAAAATGTATTTTAATACAATAAAAATGTATTTTAATTCAGTAGAAATGTATTTTAATGCAGTAAAAATGTATTTTTATGCAATAAAAATATATTCTAATGAAATAAAAATGTATTTTAATGCAGTAAAAATGTATTGCATTGCAATAAAAATCAGTATAACATATATATAATAACACAGTTAAACTAAAATATTTATAAAATTTCGCCAGAGCTATAATAAATGACAAACCTTTCAAAGTTTTAAATCATCGAAAAATGTAAGTTACACGTAATAAATCTCAGATTTTCCTACCAGTATCGTCCATAGCAACATGGGTGTCCCAGAAAAAAATGTCTAAAACATCCTGGACTATTTTCTTTGACACCCTGTACAGTTTTGAAATTGGTTTTGACTTGTGTAAAATGGGTAGCTGAAGTAAGTTATTGAGATCTTTAAATAATTGTCAGTACTGAAAAATGATTTCTATTTCATTCCGTTCTGTAGGATTACGTAAGTTGATAAAATAACTAAATTTCAAATTAGAATTAGGAGGACATTATGTTTTTTTGTTTTTCATATTCAGTTCAATATTCGGGTTATCTTAGGTTTATTCTATTCTGTTTAATCCCTCCAAGTTAAGTTTATTTTCAGGTTTATTCTATTCTGTTTAATCTCTTCAAGTTCAGTTTATCTCCAGGTTTATCTTATTCCGTTTAATCTCTTCAGGTTCAGTTTATCTCCCGGTTTATCTTATTCTGCTTAATCCCTCCAAGTTAAGTTTATCTCCAGGTTTATTCTATTCTGTTTAATCCCTCCAAGTTAAGTTTATCTCCAGGTTTATTTCTATTCTGTTTAATCCCTCCAAGTTCAGTTTATCTCCAGGTTTATCCTATTCTGTTTAATCCCTCCAAGTTCAGTTTATCTTCAGGTTTATCTTATTCCGTTTAATCTCTTCAGGTTCAGTTTATCTCCAGGTTTATTCTATTCTGTTTAATCTCTCCAAGTTCAGTTTATCTTCAGGTTTATCTTATTCTGTTTAATCTCTTCAGGTTCAGTTTATCTCCCGGTTTATTCTATTCTGTTTAATCTCTCAAAGTTCAGTTTATCTTCAGGTTTATCTTATTCTGTTTAATCTCTTCAGGTTCAGTTTATCTCCCGGTTTATCTTATTCTGTTTAATCTCTCCAGGTTCAGTTTATCATTATCCTATTCTGTTTAATCTCTCCAAGTATGCATCTTCATCGAAGTTTTCTTCTAAATCTTCCATTAGACTGGAGTAGAACACATCATTATAATCCTCGGCAACTTCTAAACTTTTCCTGAAAAATAATAAAATAAATAATAGAATAAGTTTTGACCAAACTGCTAGGAATAGAGTTCTTTTTATACATTTTAAATTATTCAGTAGTTATAGTTCCATGTTTTGATGAAAAATTCAAAATTTATACTCGTTACAAGAATTAATTTATCAAATATTAAATTTTTTAAAAATAATTTTAACTTACTCTTTACAAGGAACTATATTAGCAGAGGTAACCAGGTCTTCTTTAAAGTCGACATTCTTCCCTTGGAGGGATAGAGCGTGGATGCATCCCCTGAACCCGTCCTCCCAGCGTGCTCCGGTCAGCTGGGAAGGATCAGGTCCTCCTCCGATAAAAATGTTTCCTGCTGTATTCAACATCTGGAGCAAACCCTGCTCAACAAAACCATTCACAGAATTTTATAAAAATAATGGACTGTTCTCAAAATCAAGAATGGCGTTAAATTTCACTGCTGAAAGATGGCAAATAAAAAAGTGGAAAACTTTTCATTTTTGTAAACAGTTACTTTAAAAACAGGAAGTAACAAAGTGTGTATAAAAAAAGATTGCACTACATGTCAGCTTATACAGTTTGGTTTACCTCCTTTGGATCTTAAAAATATATGCTTAGATAATTTGATTCATTTAATAAACTATAAGAACTGAACAAAATTCTTTTAATCTCCGGAAATCTCTAAAGTACAATTAAAGGCAAACCAAATGCAAGTGGTATGTTATGACAAATGAATGTGGCAAGAACTTTAAAAAAGGCGACATTAACTAAGAAATTTTCATACTTTGTGGGACACCCTTTGCCTTGAAGGACGAATATATTTTTTTTCTGAAGTTTTGAATGTTATTTTCCTTGCTAGATCCGGATACAGATATTTTATCATTTAGAACCAGTTCTCCTTTCCGTCCTACTCTTGTTATCTCTAGCTTGTGAAGGTTTCCATCATCCACCCTGGTCTCCAGTCTTATATTAGCAGGACCACCTCCCAGCTCATACTGAAGACTAGGATATCCGTCTTCTACTACTAGAGCTAGGAAATCTCCGCCGTTTCCGACCAATCCGTCCTGACTCTGGCAGAACAGGATTCCGTCCGTGTACTCCGTGGTGAACGTAATACTGAAGGTTTCCGGTGTGTTTCTAGAGCTGTGTGGGAACAAGGTTCGATCCAGCTCCAGGTAACCATTTCCCTTAAACCCAATCTCTTTACCTATCTCAACACCTGGAAGTTTAAAAAAAAAATAATAAAACTATGATGAACAGATGCGAAACAAAAAACTGGTTGGATCTTTTAGCTTTCAACAGTTCATTCTAATACTTCAGTTTTGTTAAAAAAGGTTCATTGTTTATTGCAAAGAAAATACAGTAAAGGATTTTACTTACTCCTGTTGCAATGAACTCCAGCGAACCCCAAGGAGCAGGAGCAGGAGTAGGATGTTGTGTTCCCGATACATTTACCATTGTTTAGACAGGGTGTTTGTAGATTACATAGATTCTCCTCTTCCTCGCACAGTTCTCCGTAGTACCCCGGAGAACAGGAGCAGGAGAAACTCGAGTTTCCCTGATCAACACAAACCCCGTTGTGCTTACAGGGTTCAACCTCACAAGGAGACATGGAGTTACAGTCTCCAATATTTCCGGAGTCTAGAACATCATATTTGAGGTCCAGCTGTTGTCCTCCACTCTCTAGGTCCACGATACATCCTGTAAATCCTCTCTGAACCCCGACACCGGAGGCAAATACGTACTTGTTCAGGTTCAATCCTCCAACGTAGAGCGGAGTTTTAATATTCAATCCTCGTGTATTCCCTGGAGATTTACCTACTACTGGAGTCCCGTTATCCAGTACCATAGAACCATCTCGGAGCTTACGTCTTATCTTCACTTCATGCCATATATTGAGCTCAATCCTTACATTAGACCGGAGTATGGCCGCTCCTGAACCAGTATCAAACCTAAACTCTAGATATCCGTCCTTGATTGCAAGCGAAGCAAAGTCTCCCTTTCCGTCCTCACTCTGAGAACAGTAAAAAAGAACAGAGTCCTTTAGATCTTTGGTTTTAAACTTCATACCAATGTTTAATCTTCTTAGGATATGTTTAGGCCTAGAAAGAAAAAAACATTTTCAAATTCTAAAAGTTAGTTTACTTTAAAACATTTTACCTAGAAAAAGCAATATAGGAGTCTCCTGTAAAAGCAGGTTTCTTAATCTGAAGGCTCTGCTCACATCTTGAACCCGAAGTTTCTAAAATATGATGAAATTATTTTGAAATTTTTAAAATCTATTTATGTGCTTTGTTTTTACCTAGAGGGCAGTAGCACTGTATCCCTGAAGCAGTATCTTCACATCTTCCCTCTCCACACACACCCGGAGAACAGGCATCCCCAACCTTACTACAGTTCTTTCCAGAGAACCCCTAAACCAGAGAACATGTATTCAATACTGTCTTCACTCTTCATGTTGAATTTTGGGATAAAAATTGATAATTGAATCAAATCATCTTTCATTTTCCTACAAAAGTCACTTTTTGGTATTCGATGTTGCTTTTTCATAATCCTCGTTTTATGTTGTTTTTTGACGGTATTACATTGAAATTGAATGCATTAGATAAGTTTATAAAATAAAAACAAGAGAAACGGAGATTTCGGAATAAACATCTTTGATTTACTCCGGGTATACCTGAGAGCAGATGCAGATAAATCCAGACTCTGAGTAAGATTCCTGGCATTTTCCTCCGTTATCACACGGATTCCCAGCACACGTCTCACAACCAGTTATTCCAACAGAACTCTCTTTGGTCTTTGTTATATCCCTGACAAAAACAATATAATTTAATTTTTAATTCCAGAATCTTTAAAATAATATCCCACCTAAGTCTATGTCCAATTGCGACCTTGCTCACACATCCAACAAACCCTCGCTTAAATCCTACCCCGGAGCCGATCCCGTTAAAGGTTGGGAGTCCTCCGACATAGAATGGTCCTAGGAGATCCAACCCTTGAAATATCCCTTCTGCAAATCCAAAGACTGGAGTAGATCCGTCCAGAGAGAGAGATGCGTTCTTCCTGCTTCTCCAGACCACAGCGGTGTGCCACTCCCCTAAGATCACATGAGATAAACAAAAAAAGTTTCCTGCAAAAGGTTTAGATATACAGGGTGAGTCAAAAAACAGTGGGATTTGCGACGCCTGGTGAAAAATTGTTCCATTTTTGTGCAACTCTCCTGTATGGTGTTTTTTCAATATTTTTTGAAAATTTGTAACTTTTTTTGGTACTCCAATGGCCCAAAAAAAATTCACGAACCTTCTTTCTCTTAAAATCACAAGTTCAGAAAAGCAAAAATGTGCATATTAATTATTTCTTTCGAAATATAAAATTTTAAAAAGATTGAATCACAGAATCACAAAAAATTCGCCAAATTGTAATAAGAAAATTCGCAATTTTTAGTTCTGGTCTAATTTTTAAAGAAAAGTTATTTAAATTCTGTAGTTACTTTCTTCTTAGTATATTCTAAAGCATTAAATATACAGTTGAAACCTTAAGAACCATTGAAAAAACAAATTTTGACCTAACAGAATTTGTGGTTTGAAATAAATAAGGTCTATAACATTGGGTTAAAAAGATAAAGGGTTTGTAGGCTCAACACTTTTTAGTTAACAAATATGAATTCTGTTTTTCATTTACGTTTTTAATATTTGCTTCCATTTACCTTTCTGAACCGGTTTAACTGATTTGATGGTTGATACTCCGCTGCCCATATTGAACCTGAACACAGGGAATCCCTCCTCTAAACCCAGAGCAATAAAATCTCCGATCCCGAGATTATCCTGACCATTGTAGAAGATCAATCCGTCCGACTCTGCCCGGAAGGAAACCTGAGATATACAGAGATCTTCAGAAAACAACGGGAATAAGTAAACGATCGAGTATTAACTTTTGTGTATATACTGCCGTTAATAAAACATATTTACTGCTTTGTAGTCCATAACAATTTGAGAAGATTTACTGTATGAAGATTACTTAAAAAACAATTCAAAAAAAACTCCAGGGTTTGCCTGTATCTTGAACTCCAGGGTTTACCTGTATCTTGAACTCCAGGGTTTACCTGTATCTTGAACTCCAGGGTTTGCTTGTATCTTGAACTCCAGAGCACGAAATTTAAAAGAGTATCGTTGAACGAAACTCCCGAGTTTTCTTTTTGGGGTCTTAACATTTGTGTAGATTTTGATTAAAGAGATTCGAAAAAAATGAGAATATAAACAAACTGAAAAAAATAATATTTCATCTCAAAAATAATGATATCCACAAAACTTCCTAAACCCATTCGTGAAACCCGGGTTTTAAAACTGGTTTTCATAACGATACCCTGTCTTAAGTTTTGGACTCAGGGTTTACCTGTATCTTGAACTCCAGGGTTTACCTGTATCTTGAACTCCAGGTATGCATCAGGAAGTGTTGGAAATTGTAAGTAAGATATCGGAGCTTGAGCAAAGTAAGGAACTATTCCAGTAACAACCAATCTTATGATCTCCTCTCTATCCTTCTCTCCTGAACAAAATCATTTGAATTCAATCAGTTTTTCTTTTCTGTTCTCCCTTTTAAAAACAACTAACTATACAATACGACCATACGGAAATCTGTAAATGAAAAGTATTGTTCATTCCCACGACCCCCCTCCACCTTTTTTTATCACCACAAAGATGTTTTGTTCGCATAGTTAAAGGCGTATACTAAAAAAACAATTTGCATTCCAAAAAAGTCCAAACGTATATAGCTATACAAAGAGGAAGTTGGTATACCGTATATTTCCATACCTTTACAGCTATATTCTCCAGCATCCTTCTCTTCTGCTTGAAATATCTTTAACTCTCTCTAAATATTTTCATTCTTATTAATTAGAAAAAGAACTGAACGCTAGCAACGAAATTCTAATTTTTCCATCCCTATATCTTTGCAACCTTATGCTGCAAACCTTTGGTGTTTCAAACTTTGACTATTTGATCAGCTAAATTAATTGTTAGAAATATTAAAGAATCACGACATCAGGTTGCAAAGATTCGTTTAGAAAATTAGAATTTGTGGCAAGTGTTTGGTTTCTCTTGTAGTCTAATGAGATAAAAGATGAACTATTGATTTCTGAAACAATTTTTTTCACGATTTTTTTCATCAAATCTCAAATATATTTGATTATGAAAATTGATATTATTTTACCTCTTTCATGGACGAATCTCTGGAAATGATTCCCTGAACCTTTCTCCAGGTTACAGGAGGTTCAAGAGAACATTTTAGCTCCGCAACCCGTCCTAGGTCAACACTCATTTCCCGGATACTTTCATCTCCGGGCTCAGAACCTTCTGAAAATAAAAATTGAAAATATGATTTTAAAATGTTGAAAATCATATTTGTAATTTATCAAAGTAAAGCGGCTAAAAAAAAATGATTATTTTTTGTCACCCTTCGAAATAACACTTTTTTATAGATTATTGCTGAGTATTAAAGTAAAAAAAAATACTGATATTTGTTAAAAAGAATTCTTAAAGTCAATCAAATAAATCTATTTCCCATAATTTTTTTCTTCTCTACTATTGTAAAAAGAGATTGATAGATAATATTTTATTTTACCTGAACTTCCGGCGTTAAAATCCTTCACCATATTAGTTTAGATACTGGTTTGTGCAGACAGAGAGATAGTGCAGTGTCGGTGGGGTTAGTTTAGGACTTAATTTTAATCTTAAATATTGTACTATTTATTTACTTTACTTTACTTTACTTTACTTAAAATTTAAAACTATACTTGGGACTAAATCTTAATAATCTTTTACTCAAATATTGTACTCTTCAGTTACTCACTTTACTTTCCTTTACTTAAAGTTTAAAACTATACTTGGGAATTAATCTTAACTTCTGAGACTTAAATATTGTAAATGTAATCTTAATTTACTTTTAAAACATTAGTTAGGACTTAATCTTAATCTTATAGACTTAAATATCTAGCTTTATTCTCTATATTTAAAGTATAAAGGTTTAGCTAGGACTTAATCTTATTCGCACTTTAAATATGTTAATCTCATACTTCACATTTCAACTTTAAAAGTTTAATCTTAATTTGAACTAAATATAAATAAATATTTATCCTTCTCAGTTCAAGTTTATAGGTTAAGGTATAGAACATTAAATTAGGAAACGTGAATATGAAACTCTATAATACAAGAGTTTAAGGTTTAATTGGACACTTTAAAATGTAAACATTAAAATGAGTTTACAGTTATCTAGTTCAGAGTAGTTGGTTTTAAAATTTATACATAATTCTGCTTTATCTATATAGCAGGGGTGTCTTGGAAGATATTCTTTTTGAAGGGGTGTCTTGGAGTACAGTCCCTTTGAAGGGGTGTCTTGGAAGATATTATTTTTGAAGGGGTGTCTTGGAGTACAGTCCCTTTGAAGGGGTGTCTTGGAGTACAGTCCCTTTGAAGGGGTGTTTTGGAGTACAGTCTCTTTAAAGGGGTGTTTTGGAGTACAGTCCCTTTAAATTGAAGGTCGTTTTCATTATATGGTCGCCTTGCAAGACACTCCATCTAAAGGGTTGTCTTAATGGTCGGTCCCTTTAGAGAAGTGTCTTAGAAAAAACTCCCTTTAAAGGGGTGTCTGGAGAAAAGTCTCTTCAAAAAAGTGTGTCTTGGAGAAAAGTTTCTTCAAAACAACGTCCAAGATTCGGGGGTTACGTTAGACTTTTTCTAAAATAAATCTAGAAAATGATATATCCTTCACCAAATTAGTTTAATACAGGTTTCTAGAATTTATCTAGAAAATAATGAAACCTTCACCAAATTAGTTTAATACAGGTTTCTAGAATTTATCTAGAAAATAATGAAACCTTCACCAAATTAGTTTAATACAGGTTTCTAGAATTTATCTAGAAAATAATAAACCCTTCACCTTATTAGTTTAATACAGGTTTCTAGATTTTATCTAGAAAATGATAAATCCTTCACCAAATTAGTTTAATTCAGGTTTGTAACAGTGGGACCCGTAAAACTGTAGAATAGAAAGACGACTGTTAGACTCAAGTTATAAATTTTAAATTTTTTAACAAATATAAGAAACAGAGCAATGGTTTTTAAGCTAATGGTAAATGTTTTTGCTTTGCTCTGATCATGTATAAATCTGCTTATTGTTTTCAAAGATAATGCAAAAAACTTGTGATTTTTTTATTTGGCAGTTTTATTAAATTTTTATAATAACACTTAACAGTATATTTTACAGTAACATAATGTACATTTTTATACATGTTTAGGCATTTTCTAGGCATGAAATATTTACAAATTACAGACGGTTCTACAAATAGAAGATTTAGGACAAATATTATGCTTTAACATGATACATGTGAATGATTTGGAAGTGCAACGGTTAGTATAATTTTCATGGGGTTAGGTTAGGTTTAAACTATATGATTAGTACATAATAGATAGAGAAGACGCTAGCTAAGGATAAGGTCTATATCTAGTACCTTGACCCCTTGATTGAACAAATAATGAATAATCTGAATAGAATATTCCGAGTTCAGTTTCTGCTGTGCATCGATAAAGGCCATTATTCCCACCAACAAGATTCATAAACCTAGAGTATGATATAATAGGTTACAGTGAGATACATAAACCTAGATTATGATATAATAGGTTACGGTGAGATACATAAACCTAGATTATGATATAATAGATTACAGTGAGATACATAAACCTAGATTATAATATAATAGATTACAGTTAGATTCATAAACCTAGATATAGGATATGATAGGTTACAGTTAGATTCATAAACCTAGATATAGGATATAATAGGTTACAGTTAGATTCATAAACCTAGATATAGGATATAATAGTTTACAGTTAGATACATAAACCTAGATCATGATATAATAGGTTACAGTTAGATACATAAACCTAGATTATGATATAATAGATTACAGTGAGATACATAAACCTAGATTATGCTATAATAGGTTACAGTTAGATACATAAGCCTAGATCTAGGAGACAGGGAGATACATAAACCTAGATCTAGGATACAGGGAGATACATAAACCTAGATCTAGGAGACAGGGAGATACATAAACCTAGACCTAGGATACAGGGAGATACATGAACCTAGATCTAGGATACATGGAGATACATAAACCTAGATTATGATATAATAGGTTACAGTTAGATACATAAACCTAGATCTAGGATACAGTGAGATACATAAACCTAGATCTAGGATACAGTGAGATACATAAACCTAGATCTAGGATACAGGGAGATACATAAACCTAGATCTAGGATACAGAGAGATACATAAACCTAGATCTAGGATACAGGGAGATACATGAACCTAGATCTAGGAGACAGGGATATACATAAACCTATATCTAGGATAAAATAAGATTATACACCTAGATCAAGGATACATTAAGAGTTATAAACCTAGATTAAGGATGCAATAAGATTATAAACCTAGATCAAGGATACAATAAGATTATAAACCTAGATCAAGGATACAATAAGATTTAAAAACCTAGATTAAGGATACAATAAGATTATTAACCTAGATCAAGGATACAATGATATACATAAACCTGGATCAAAGATACGAGGAGATTCATAAACATAGATCAAGGATACAATAAGATTATAAACCTAGGTCAAGGATACAAGAAGATTTATAAATCTAGATTAGGGTGCAGTAAGATTATAAACCAAGATCAAGGATACAATGATATACATAAACCTGGATAAAAGATACAAGGAGATTCATAAATATAGATCAAGGATACAATAAGATTTATAAACCTATATCTAGGATACAATAAGATTTATAAACCTAGATCAAGGATACAATAAGATTTATAAACCTAGATTAAGGATACAATAAGATTATTAACCTAGATCAAGGATACAATGATATACATAAACCTGGATCAAAGATACGAGGAGACTCATAAACATAGATCAAGGATACAATAAGATTTATAAACCTAGATCAAGGATACAATAAGATTTATAAACCTAGATTAAAGATACAATAAGATTATAAACATAGATCAAGGATACAATAAGATCTATAAATCTAGATTAAGGATACAATAAGAATATAAACCTAGATCAAGGATACAATAAGATTATAAACCTAGATCAAGGATACAATAAGATTTATAAACCTAGATTAAAGATACAATAAGATTATAAACATAGATCAAGGATACAATAAGATCTATAAACCTAGATTAAGGATACAATAAGATTATAAACCTAGATCAAGGATAAAATAAGATTGATTTACCAATATCAAGGATACCATGATATAAATAAACCTGGATCAAAGATACCATGAGATTAAAAAACCTATATCAAGAATCAGATTGCATTATGATATGATGAAACCGACTTGAACAGGTCTAAGATTTGAATCTAACCTGATCAGATTTCCCCGAGCTGCTGTGTTCTCTGGTAGATCTGGAGATCCAACCTTGCTCCAGGAGAACCTGACCGAACCTGACTCCACCCCCGCCACCTTACAGCTGATATCAAGGGATCCACCCTCCACTATCCTGGGGGAGGAGGGTTCTACCGTCACAACAGGGTTCCGTCTCATACTCTGTATTCCTACATAGAAATTACAATACATAAAATATTTCTAACAATCCTATAAGTTTCTAAAACTCCCAAACTTTTCAGAAGGAAACCGAGTACTCGTCACAAACTCTGAATTTCTAATCCTCGTATCTTTGCAACCTAATGTTGTAAAATAATGTAATTTGAAACTATGAAGAAATAGTCAAAATTTAAATATTAAAGGTATGCGCCAGTTAAGGTTGCAAAGATTTAATGATTAGAAAAATTTTATATGAGGCGAGTAATCAATTCCTTTATCACTAGGAAATGTCTGAGAAAACCAGTGTTTGTTTTAAAATTAAACCGAGATAAAATAATAATCACAACGACATCCTAAATCTTTTTGCATAAGAAACAACAAAATAGACATTTGTTCTGATTAAACAAATATTTTGGAGAATTGTTTATTGTTGGGAACAATCCCTTACAAAGGGTTCAATCATGCAGTTTATGCACTTCCACAAAGGTGATTGTATTGTATAATCTTTCATATTTTAATATTTCATAAATAAATTCATTCATGCAGTTTATCTTTTATTTCCTAGCAACATTGTGCACAGTTGTTTTACCGAGCATTATTTAGCACACAGTCTTCAGAGCAACATTTTTTCGAGCATTATTTAGCACACAAACTTCAGAGCAACATTTTTTGAGCATTATTTAGCACACAGTCTTGAGAGCAACATTTTTCCAACATTATTTAGCACACAGTCTTCAGAGCAACATTTTTTTGAGCATTATTTAGCACACAGTCTTGAAAGCAACATTTTTTCGAGCATTATTTAGCACACAGTCTTCAGAGCAACACAAACACAGAGCTGGGATGCATCCTACCCCTCCGTATCCTGTATAGACCACAGCTCAGCTCATCCGATCCGTCCGTGCAATCAAATTCTCCGTCACAGAGCTGGGATCTAGGAACACAGCCTGCCTTGTTGGAGCATTCAAACTCCATCCTGTCACACTCAAGACCAGCTGGAGAAATAAGAATAAAGATTCGTCCAACGCAAGGAAACTTTTAAGTAACTTGAAAACTATAGAGTGGATCAAAAAACAAGATAAATTCTGAACAATGTTTCTGTGAAAATAATTTTTGAGTCAATGCCCATCAGGCTAAAACTGTAGTAAAGACAAAAGGCAAACTTTATAATCTTTGATTATTGAAAACATATTTTAAATTTACTGTATAGATTTTTTTACTTTTTTAGTTCCACTCCATATGTAAAATAAACTCACGTTCAACTCTAAGTTCAACAACATAGGTCCCGCCTTGCTCTGAGCTACAAATATATCTCCCAGAGTCCTGATCCAGAATTTTACTGATCCTGAGAGTATTGGTGATCTGCTGAGCAGTTGGAGGTAATGCTCCTCCGTCCCTTCTCCAGGTTACAAGATTTTTCTCCGGGAGGCGACACGGAAGATCAATATTAGCTCCGATAGACGCTGTTAATCGTTCAGGTTCAGATCTCCGCTCATAATCTGAAATTTGTCAAATGTGAACCAAGATCAATGATTGTAGGTTTGAGCATGCAAAAGGGACGGCGGAACTGAAACACCATGCATATCCGTACCCGGAGAATCAGGGAGAGCGGAGTAACCAGGTTTAATAGGTTCAGGCCGTCTTCCGTAATCATAGTAATCCACTTCATCTGTATCATAGACTAAAGAATCTGGATAAGTGGGTTGAGGGTATGGATATCCTTGAGCTAAACCTGGAGATTGATAGGGTTGGTTTAACCCTGCACCGCTTGCTCCTCCTCGGGATCCGTCATCCATAGGATTTGGTCTCGGAGGTTGATATCCTTTATAGGGTTCGGGAGCAACTGGAGGCTGGTATCCCTTCTCCGGAGTTCTAGGAGTCTGATATCCCTTGTATCCTGGGTCTTCAAGAGAATTTTCTAGAAAAATCTGTCCAGAACTATTTTAATTTTATTTTTGTTTCTTTATAAGTATCAATAATTATAATGTGATCATTAAATACCTAAAAAAAGTTGGTAATTTTTATCTTACCATTGACAATAACTTCAGCAGTTGCCACAGAGTTCCCGTCTGGGTTGGACGCTGTGCAGGAGTACCTACCCTGATCTCTCACTGAGATTCCTCGAAACTTAAAATAATTTATAATGACTATTACAATAAAATAAATAATAATAATAATAATAATAATAATAATAATAATAATAATAATAATAATAATAATAATAATAATAATCATAATCAGAATAATAATAGTGTTTACCTGTAGCCGACCTCTGCTCTGTGAAACACTCCTAGGAAGGTTTGATCCGTCCTCCCTACTCCAGAGGATATTTATAGGTTCTGAACCTGTAGCGGAGCAGGTTATGAGAGGACTATCTCCGGGATTAACGGTCTGACGCTGAGGATCCAGGGTTATCCGGGGAGGAGCTGAAACATGTGAATTATTCGGTTATTTAAAAACATTTAGTAAATAGGACGAATACAAAAACATTATAATATAGATTTATAAAATAATTTGAATTTTAAAATAAATTCAAAGAAATTGAATCTTTTTAACAAACTCTGATTTAGATATTTATGAATTTTATAACTACGAATTATGTTAAATCAAATAATCTTAGTTTGAAATATCAAAGGTTTACACCATCAAGTTGCAAAGATATAGAAATAAATTTTGTGGCAAAGAATTCCTTTGACAACTTACATATTAGAATGATTTCCTTCCGTACTTCGTAGACGACACTGCCTCTGTTATCTACAACCTCACAGACATAAACCCCCTCGTCCTCCGCATCTACCCTCACTAGGTTCAGTATACCCTGAGACTGGTAGTGTCGGGTTGGGAACCGTCTTCCATCAGCACGCTTCCATTGTCCGGAGAAACTAGCTCCTTCTCCGACCGTCATGCATTCTAGTCGGATGTTTGCTCCAATACTGACGGGTTGGTTGTCCAGGAGTGGTAATCCGTCGGGTTCTCCGGATTGATCCGGATATCTTCCTTCATTTTGATCTGGGTAACGACCGCCGGATTGATCCGGATATCGTCCTTCATTTTGATCCGGATATCGTCCCTCATTTTGATCTGGATACCGTCCTCCGTTTGGATCCGGGTAACGGCCGCCGGACTGATCCGGATAACGTCCACCATTTTGACCCGGATACTGTCCCCCAGACTGATCAGGGTAAGAGTAAAATTCGTCCTCCTCTAGAACGATTATCTGAACCCTCTCCTCCGTTTCTCCGGCTATATTTCGAGCTACACAAGCATACGTTCCCTCATCTTCCTTAGTTAATCTGGATATTTCGAATACTGGAGAACTCGTCCCAACCTGCCTGGAAGTCCTAAAGAAAAGAAGATTAAAAGCATGTCTTAATCCAATCTTATTATATAACTTACATTCCAATTTTCTTCCAGGATACAGATGGAGGTGGATCTCCTCTAGCTGAACAACTAATACTGAGCTTCGTCCCAACCTGCATCGTAACCGATCCTTTAGGTTGGAGAGTTATGGTCGGAACCTCTTGAACCACAAGAGTTGCAATGGCTTCAGTTGAACCTACTTCATTTTGAGCTCTGCATTTGTACCCTCCCTGTTCCTTCCCTGTTACTCGGTTTATCCTGAGAACTCCTCCTCCAAGAAGTTCTACATTAGGTTGCAGAGGAAGTCCATCAACCCTGGTCCAGGTTACAAGCGGAGATGGAATACCAGCGATAGTTCGGCACTGGAAGAGTACACTACCAGACTTTGTTATAGTTTGGGAGTTTTCAGGATATATCTCTACTCCGGGTGGTTCCCTTCTCTCCACCTCTATGATTCCACTGGCTCGGGCCGAACCTCCGGCATTCTCTGCTGTACAAATATACATTCCACGGTCCGATACTGCAGCATTTCTCAGGGATAGAACCCCTCCTGATACTACAAGGTTCGGAGAGCTTAGATCTTCTCCGACCTTGCTCCATTCCAGGGAAGGAGCAGGTTCTCCTGATCCTATACATCTCAACTCTGTACTACTCCCTTGTCCTATAGTTTGCTCCTCTGGTTCAATCCTGACTGACGGCGGACCTCGGTAAGAAGTGATGGTGAGCCGAGCTTGAGATTCAAGTTTAGCTCCTGAGCTGGATGTTGCTCGACATATATATATTCCTGAATCTTCAACCCTAGCTGCAGATATGGTTAATCGTCCACTAGATTCTGTTGCAGTGAATGGAAGACGTCCTTCCATCCTCTCCCATGATATTCTATAATTCTCTCCGCCAGAAATCTCGCAGATAAACATTGCCGAGTCTCCGACCGATATTGCCAAATCTTGCGGATTAACACTAATCCTTGATGAGTCCTGAGGTTTGTTCTCCTGGTTGCCGGAGCTGGTCACGTAGATCTGCGTCCTGCTCTGGGTAGACCCTCCAGTACTGGAGGCTGTACAGATATACTCTCCTTCATCTTCTCTTCCAACTGCTCCTATGAACAGACTGGAACCTCGAACAATGACCTAAAAGTTAAACATCTTCATTTAGAATAGATAAAAGGAACAAAGTTCTTGTCACAAAGTTGCAGAGATATTGATTAGAAAATTTGATTTTGCGCCAAAAAGTCAATTCCCTTGAGATCAAGAAAAAAACAAAGATTACTAAAGGCACACTTGTATGATTGTATCTAAAAAACCTAGAATATACTGATAATTTTTTAAGATAATAAATTTAGGAAAAAAAAAATTTCTCTAAAATCCCAAAGAACGTACTCTAGGATTTAATGGTTCTCCTCGTCCTCTACTCCAGGTTACTGTAGGAGTAGGACTCCCTGATGTTCTGCAATCCATCTGTAATCTGTCTCCGACTGATATTTGCTGGTAGGGAGGATCAATACTTGCAATAGGAGCCATGGTGCCCTCTCCTCCTGAACAAACATATTTTGTAAATATTCTTGATTTTAATCAATATTTCTTTCTCATTCTATAATTAAATTTTATTAAAGGGACTGTAAGCGTTATTTTAAGTGACCCTCCATATATTCAAATAGCAATGTCTGATTTACAATAGTACCCTTTAAACCCTAATCTGATCAAAAAATGTGTAGCAGATACCATTGTTTTATTGACTAAAAAAGTGTTTATTTCTGCGAATTTTTCAGTTCTTTCTTATAAGCAAAGAATGCGCGCAAGTCACTTTCGCAGAGAAACCGCAAATGAAAATAAACAGTTTAAAAAACGAACTCATGAATATCTAATTAATACTTGACTGGACTAAGCTTTAAAGTGTACAGTTGTAAACCTGTGATTGACATCTTAGCATGAAGGGTGACTTGAACTTACGCTTACAGTCCCTTTAAACAGATAAATTACAAAAAAGGGGAAAACGTTTCAAGGAAGTTAAATCGATTAGAAAGGAATTTAGTTTTTGCCACAAACTCAAATTTTATCATTCCAATATATTTGCAGCCTGATGGTGTAAACCTTTCGTAGATTATTTGGTCTATCAAAATTGCAAAGAGCTAAGGAATAAAAACTCAGAGTTTGTGGAATTTCTTTTTAAATGTTATGCTTGACAATCTCTCACCTTCAACACTGAGTACAGCTGTCTCCGTCTTGACAAACCTTCCCGTAGTTGCAGTACAGATATACGTTCCTGAATCCTCGCTCCGGACTGAGGTTATAACTAGGAGACCCTGGCCGTTATCAGAGGCACGTCCAGCGGGTAACAAACCGTTCTCCTTCGCCCAGGCAATGGTCATCGGATCCTAGAAAACCGGTTTTTATTATTTTCAAAACAGTCTGATCCTGTCTGCTTGAGGTGGAAGTGGTAAAATATAGATTCTTTAAAAATAAATGTTTAAACATTTTTTTATGCGACCAATACAGAAAAGGCAAATTCATTACTTTACAAGAGATTTAAAAGAAAAACTTTATTCCGTCCAGTTAGATATCGGTACCTGAGATCTGAATCGTGGGATTGCGTTGCAGCTAAACCGAACCGTATTTCCAACCTCAATAATCTGGATCTTAGGTTCAGTCATGGTTATCGTGATCGGGACTTCTTCTCCAGGTCCTGATACATCAGGTCTAGTGCTTCCTAGGCAGGAGGATATTTTAAGACGGAACAGACATTTTTTGAATAAACGAAATTGGTTAAACATGTTTTTCTTTTGTCTGTTTAATTTGAACTTTTAATTTAGCCAAGCTCTCATGGCTAAAATTTCCGAAAGGAACTGAGTTCTTGCCACAAACTTTAATTTTTCAATCCATATATCTTTACAACCCGATGACATACACCTTTGATATTTCAAACTATAAATTCTGCTAGATCAAATAGTTAGAAGTATTAAAGATATGCACCATCAGGTTGCAAAGATATAGGGATTCAAAATATTTAATTTGTGGCAAAAGATTTCACCTTACATATGATGTCGGATAAGAATAAACAAAGTAAGGGTTCCTTTTCACATCATAAATAATTTTGTTAATTTTTGGTTAATTTAAGTTATTATGTGAATTTAAATCTAAGTTGTTAGGCTACAAACAGTACATGCTAGCAAGTAAGATACCCTGTCTCAAGGTACTAATGCAAGGAAAGTTAATTGCAGTTGCGTATACTCTGCTTACATATTGGAACCAGTTCTCTCTGGGCGGACTTTGTAAACAAAAATAGATGCATCAGTGTTCGTTCAGTATCCGAGGAGGTTAAAAGCATATAATTTTGATAAATTTGAAAATTCACATTGTTTCCTATGACAAGAATATTTCATAGATTATTTTTGTGAAAATAGATTCCATGTCAGGCTGCGACATCCTTTTTGTGTTTACTTTTCCGCCCAAAGACAGTACACTGCAGTACAAAAATACATACACCTCTGAAATATTTTTCCTTGCATTAGTAGCTTGCTCCAGAGCAATTCGGAGTTTTTTTAAATTAAGCTTTTCTTGTAAACAAAGATGTTATGGGGTTTCTGATGTATCTTCCTCCCATGCTAAGTAGACACCTGCTATTGGATGCACTTTTTTTTGGGCTAAAATTGAACTTTGAGACTTGAAAAGATACCATGCAATGCGGAAAATACTTGTTGTAAGGGAACAATGCTTAAACGCTTCTTAAAGAGGTTTAATAAAAACGGTATCAAGGTCAAATAAAGAGGTTTAATAAAAACGGTAACAAGGTCAAATAAAAATTTAAGAAAAATTGTGTTTCTTTTTACTACCGCAAAATGTTATTTTTTTTCCCCCGTTTTATTTTCTAAACTTTTAAAGGGACTGTAAGCGTAATTTCAAGTGATCCTCCATGCATTGATGGCAATGCTCGATTTTCAACAGTACCCTTGTAAAGCTTTGTCTGATCAAGTATAAATTAGATATCTTCTTTCTTTCAACTGTTTATTTTCATTTGGGGTTTTTCTGCTATTAGTGACTAGTGCATTTCTTGTTTCTAAGAAGCAATGCAGAAACTCAGAAATAAACAGTTTTTGAGTCAGAAAAACAGCGGATCTTCCATATTTTTAATCAGATTAAAGTGTCAAGTGTAGCGCTGTAAATCGAGCATTGTTATCTTTGCATGGAGGATTACTTGAAATTACGAGTACACTCCCTTTATGTGAATTAAATAAGAAAGTTTACATAGAATCCTACAAGGGTTTAGATGGTTTCACAACTCATTTCACAGTTTTAAGATTGGTTGAATTAACATGCGTATTTTCTATTTCAAGGTCGTAGATTTTAAAAGTATCGTTTTATCAAAAATCCTGCCGTTTTTTAAAAGTATTTGATCAAGGCTCTCGTTAAAGCCAGGTCGTTGCAAAGAAATGTAATTTACTCTCAGAGAGATTTAAATCAATCTAACCAAGAAAATGATCAATGAATCCAAGTTTCACTGGATCCAACTATTCCCATCTGATTTAATGTACTACGTATCATTACAATATGGTCGTATCATAGATATACAAGAATATAGATAGCTCATGTCGTCTTCACAATACCGGAGGGTTTCAGCCCAATTTGAAAATTGCAATTTAGCTGTGGTACTAGTTACTGACATACAGATTTGCGGCAAGTATCTTTGCACTCTGTACAAAGGTATGGGGGTTTGCTTACAAATTCTGCACACAGACTAGTTTAAAGTTAAATTTTAAATGATTAGAACGAAAAGTAGTTGCTACTTGCTACCGATACTTTGGCGGATTCTATATTGTGTCAACATGTTGACTGTTTAGAGGCAACGCAGTGAAAATCACGGTATGATTACCATTTTATTAAATAAACTAAGTTTTTACATTCTTTCTCAGGAGTTTGGAAGGGGGGATTATTATTAAATAAATAAATTATATCTATGGGTTATATATAATAAATCAAAGAAAAAAGACAACCAAATGCAGATCAGTAAAAATTAATTATATAACTCCAAAACTTTTGCAATGGGAAAAGTCCAAGATTTGATCGTTAAAACCCGATCGTCTTCTTGGCGAAGAAAAAAAAGCATTAAAAAAACATCCTAACGTTTTGAACAAGAGACAGGAAAGAAGTTTGTCTCATTAATTTTTCAGTTCTGAAATAAATTAAGTCTTTGATACAAACTCAGATTTTCTAATCCCTATATCTTTGCAACCCAATACTATATTTTATGAATTATCTAAGTGTGAAATATCAAATGTTTACATCATCAGATTGTAAAGATATAGGGATTAGAAATTTTGAGCTTGTGGCAAAGACTTAATTCCTTTACCAGAATATACAAAAAGACATGCACAAAACATTCACATTGTTTTAACTGTACTTTACTACTCTAAACTGTACAACACTGTACTGTGCTGTATTGTAATATATTGTACTGTGCTGTACTGTGCAGTGCTGTGCTGTACTATACTGTTCCGTATAGAGCTGTACTGTACTGTCTGTATTGTGCTGTACTGTACTGTTCTGTATTCTGTTGTATCGTGCTGTACTGTACTCTTCTGTATTGTGCTGTACTATAACTGTTCTGTATTGTGCTGTACTGTACTTTTCTGTATTGTGCTGTACCGTAATGTACTGTATTGTGCTGTACTGTACTGTTCTATATTGTGCTGTATTGTAATGTTCTATGCTGTACTGTACAAGGTTCTAGACCTGGATTTAGAACAGCAGTAAGCTGACCCACAACCCCTCCCCTGGAGTTCTTCAACCTACAAACCACCATCCTATGCTCCGCCTCCAGCACCAAGGTCCACTTTCTATTCGCTCCCCAGGAATACCTGGAGAAATAATCAGACAAGATCTCACGCTTAGAGACAAGTCTGACTCCGGGATACTCTTTGAGAGCTTCAAACTCTATACTGAGTCTCTCATTGCTCCTGTAGCTGCAGGAGAAGGTTGTTCTAGTTCCAACAGGTTCATGAACTCTCAGAGGAACCAACTCCATCATTATACCACCTACAAGCAAAGCAAAGCATGCAGGAAGCAGGAAAAAACGTTAAACATTTTTCAAAGCAGGAAATAATAAAAAGCAAGCAAATTAAAAAACATTCATGCAAAATTAAATCATATAAAAAGCAAAGTAATAAATTAAGCATATGCAAACAGAAAGCAAAAATAAAGCTTTATAAATACAGAAATATATAAATTGAGAAACCTGAAAAACATGCCATTAATTTACTCACCCCTGTACTCGCACATTTGCCCTGAATATCCTGCTTTACAGATACACTCAACCTCCTGGGTAGAAACCATGCTACAACTATCCTCATTATTATTACAAGGACAAAGAACACATCGTCCTTGTCCTCCCATACTCCGGTCCGTCCAGTCCCTGTAGTAACCCAGAGCACAGGACTCACAGGAGTACCCGGAGTATCCAACCGGACATCTACACTCCTCTGCTCCCTGAACCAGGGGACCTCCTGTCATCTGAGGAACAGCAATGTCAAGCATAGTTTTACGAATATAAGTCTCCACTGTTTGTTCTGCTACACTGGCTCGAACTAATATGGCCTAAAATTAAGAAAAAGTTACTTTAACTGTCCAGGACGGTTGAATGAATAAAAACCGTCACCTTAACGTCTGAAAGAGCAGAAAGCATATCTTCTCTACTTGCTGGCGTCTCTCTACCTCTACTCCTACCAATCATCCACTCCGACTCAAGAATAGGAATCTTATATTTCTTCTCAATCCCGTCCTCTCTCTCTAGTTTTGACTCTGGGTAGAAAAGGGTGACTTCTCCTCCGACAATAATAACTGCTGGATCCCGGAGAACATTCCTTCCGGAGGAGAGATATCTCTGAATGATCGTCAGGTTTCCTCCATAGGACCCCAGACGGTTTCCTGTCACATCCCTTGGGAGTTCCCAGTAATAAACCGTTCCTGACTCCTCCGGAGATATCTGATACGATATCTCCATAGTTCTGTTATCAAACCTGAGCTCACGATCTTTAACAATCTGTTGACTTTCATCTTTGATCAGATAGGTTTTATCGTAGGCATTCATTCTCAGGGTAGACCAGAACAGGCGGGCATCACTGCACTCATCCGTTACTCCGGAGCAGAAACATTTCCTGCAACCCTGCGGGGTTCCGTAGTCCAGATTGAAGGTTCCAGGCTTACATCTATCACAGTTCATTCCTTCAACATTTTCCTTACATTGGCAGTACTGGTTGTTGATACAGTTAAGGTCCAGGCTACCCCGAGGGTCACAAGAACATGGAGAGATCGAACCTGACTCCGGAATACAACCTCCGCTCCGAGGATCCTTGAAGAATCCATCAATACAGCTCTCACAGCTGGGCCCGACTGTAAAATCCCGACAAGCCTAAAGCAAAACAATTTTTTGAAGTACACACTTTTAAAAATATGATATAACAAATATTCTGATGTAGTTTATTTGAACATTAGAATTGCACACTCTGACTTTTAGTGATAAATTCAATTTAGTCTGGACAGAATTGAAACTCATACTTCCTACATACAAAAATGTATGGTCGAGGGGGATAAAACTTTTTAATATTTGAGTTTATTCAAGTTTAATATCTATAAAGGCTCTCTGCCGTATATTTGCAAAAGTCTTAGAAATCCCAAAGCTGTTTCTAAGGTTTACTTGCATAAACTTGAATAAGCTTCTGTAATGGTATTGTTTACCAGACAAATTCCATTCTCCGGGTCACAGGTACTAGACTTCCCATTACAGTTGCAGGGTTCACAGGTACCCAGATACACTCCAGACCCTGATCTTGTATATCCTGGAGCACAATCCTCACAGGATAGCCCCTAGAACACAATCCTTACATAATGATTTATAGAATACAATCCTTACACGATAATCCCTAGAATACAGTCCTTACATGATAATCCTTAGAATACAGTCCTTACATGATAATCCCTAGAATATAATCCTTACAGGACAATCCCTAGAATATGATCTTTATATGATGATATTTATAGAATACAGTCCTTACAGAGTAGTCCCATAAATACAATAATCACTAGAATATGATTCTTATATGATAATTATAGAATACAATCCTTACAGAATAATCCCCCGAATACAGTCCTTACAGGATAATACCTAGAATATGATACTTTTATGATAATTTATAGAATACAATCCTTACAGAATAATCCCTTGAATACAATCCTTACAAAATAATCCCCAGAATACAATCCTTACAGAATAATCCCTAGAATACAATCCTTACATGATAATCCCTTGAATATAATGCTTATATAATAATTTAAAGAATACAGTCCTTACAGGATAATCTTTAGAAAAAATCCATACAGGATGATTTAAAAAAAAAAATTCATTCAGGATAATTCCTAGAATACAAGCCTTACATGATAATCCCAAGAATGCAATGCTTACATACTAATTTATAGAATACAATCCTCACATGATAATCTCTAGCATAAATCTTTTCAGGATGATTCATAGAATACAATCCATACAAGATAATTCTTAGAATACAATTCTCACAAGATAATCCATTGAATACTTTTCAGGATAATTCCTGGAAAACAATCATTTCAGGAGGATTTATAGAAATCATTCCTTACATGAAAATCCCTAGAATGCAATTCTTTCACGATAATCCCTAGAAAACAATCCTCACAAAGGAACCCTGACAGGATAATCCCTAGAATACAGTCCTTACAGCATAATCCCTAGAATACAATCCTTACCGAACAATCCCTAGAATATGATCTTTGCATTATAATTCCTTGAGTAAAATCCTTTCAGAATAATCCCTAGAATGCTAGCCATATCATATAATTCCCAGATACATTCCTTACAGAATAATCTTTGGATTACTATCCTAACAGGAATCAAGTAGTTTTTATGTATACTTTACAGACCGAGACTGTAAAAAACATGACTGATACAAACTATCAACTTTTTTCATATGTTCTTATTTTTCTTTATTTGATTCATTTTATGAAATCGGAAGCAATAATGGTGTCTACGTTTAAGTAAATCACACAAAATGGCAAACATAATTTTCTATGCATTCCAATGTTTTAAAGCACTTTTTGTAAATGTAAAAAGTATTTATCATGTACTCACCTTGTACCCCCTGGGGCAGATACAACCCTCTACTGCTGTAGCTCTACCTCCACCTGTTGTACGGTTTACAGCACACTCCAGGCTTACATCAGCAATCCTGAATACAAGGATGAGTAAACTACTCCGGACAAGGTTCATCGTGAACTCCTGGTACCCTATACACCACAGGGATCCATGCAACACTGTTTCTCCAGTCTGGAAATCCACCTAATTGTTTCTAATTGATTGCAAGAGGCCTAACACTCAACTAGTGCACTATCTCACATGCTTTACACTATGCTTAGTGTATATTCATTATATATCGAATATATTCTGCATTTTTTAGATGATATGAAATGCAAATATTTTGCAACCCCATAACGGTTCGAACTGCAATTGCAAATGAGGTAAAAAAAAAGTTTATTAAATCTTAATCTCCAATTAATAAGATTGCGGAATGTCTCTTTAAGTACAATCTTAATAATTCTGCAAAATTTTCAGAACAAAAGAAATTGGCATATGCAAAATTGAGGTTAAAAAATAAAACTGGATAAATAAAAAAAGTTTGTGAAGATGCAATTACAAATGTTCAATGTTCATTATAGTACAATGTAAGTTAGGAATTGTTTTGGATTTCTCATAACTCGAAATTTGCACTAAAATACAAAAGAATTAAATGATTATTAAAGGGACTGTCAGCGTACTTTCAAGTGATCCTCTGTGCAGAGATGACAACGCCCGATTTAAAACGGTATCCTTAAAACCATTATCTGATCAAAAATGTCGTCGTTTTCCTGACTCGAAAAGTGTTAAATTCTGATGACCTCTCCATTGCTTCTGATAAACAAGAAATGCGCAATTCACTTTTGCAGAGAAACCACAAAAAAATAAAAAGTTTATAAAAACAAAAAGATGGATATTTATTTCATACTTATCAGACAAAGCTTTTAGGTGTATCGTTGTAAATCGGGCATTACTATTTTTTCCTGGAGGGTCACTTGAAATTACGCTTACAGTCCCTTTAACGGTGCCAAACTTGCATAATAAACATTCAATGCTTCAAAGTATTCGGAAAACTATTTCCATGTGTTAAAATCTTCTGTGGGTATATAATACTAGTCTTAAAGGAACTGTAGACGTAATTTTAAGTAAGCCTCAAAATAAAATATTCAAAACCGATTGGCAAAGGTCGCCTCTTAAACTTTATTTGAGTAGCCATAAGGAAGATATCTATTTTGAATCATTTGCTAGTACACAATGTAATGGTTGTGCGGGGTCACTTTATTTTACTTGACAGTCCCTTTATCAGATGTTGATGTAACCTACCCTCCCTCTCTAGTAGCAGGTGAATGTGAGGCCCGGATAAGAATATGATCCAGGTTTGCAAGTGCCATCAATAAATGCTCCCTGTTCGTGTCTCCTCCATCAAACCTTTTCCAATCCGTCTCATGTATCCGAACCTGGATATAAAAACAGGATTTTCAACCATCGTTTAAGCAAAAAAGGTGTAATAAGTTGACAAAAAAATTACTAAAACATTTTGTTTATTTGATTAAGGAAACACAATTTAATACAAATTATAAATCTTTAAATAGTAAGGATTTGAGTAATATCTAGGAATTAAAAAGTTTGAGTAGCAAAGATTAAATTTCATTAAAATGTACTTTTGAGAATTAAGGAGAGTAAAATCATAATTGTTACCAAAAAAATTCTAAAAATGTTATTGATCTTTCAAACCAAACCATCTTTCAATCCTTGCACACCTTTTATCTTTTAGAGTCAGAACCAATACAGAACAGAAAGAAGTCATTCTAATTTAGAGTTTTTCTACCAAATGTACCAAATTCTGTAATTTTTTACTGGTATGACTCTGAATCTATGCACTAAACATTTTCAAAGATATATCAGAATTAACCGTTACAAATTACAACAGCTTAAATTTGTATTCAAAAGATTAAACAACGACGACATTTATTTCACCTGTTTCTTGTGATTGTATGAAGTGATGGGCAATACTTGTTTTTAAGAAAAACTTTTAAGGTATTTGGATTTTTAAAAGTTTTCGCAAAATAATAAGTTTTAAAAATTTCAAATTTGTTTTTCTTAACATTTTCTTCACTATGACAAACTTTGACAAAGAGAGAAGATATATGAAGAAAAACAAACAAAAAACGATAGTTTTTTTGGTTTGTTTTTCCGTTTGTTTTCTCCAAAGATAATTTTATTGCATAGTTTAAATAAAGCAAACTTTTACAGAATACAGTTTGAAATGTTGGAACCTTCACAAGTTCACAGTGTTTTTGTACTTTCTTTTGAAAGTCTTAAAACCTTTATGCTTCTTCATTTGCTTTCTTTACGCTATGACAAACTTTGACCATAAGAGAAGAGAGGAGAAGATATATGCAAGAAAAACTGTTTTTTTATCGTTTATTTTCTGTTATGATAAAGGAAATAAGCCACAAACTCCAACTTTGTAATTCCATTATCTACGCGACCTAATATTGTAAACCTTTGAGATTTCAAACTTAGATTATTTTATTTATCATAGTCTACGACACTGCAGGTTGATATAGGGATTAAAAAATAAGAGATTGTGACAAATACTGAAATCCTATGTTTCCATAGTTCAATGACAGCAACTATTACAGAATACAGTTTGAAAAGTTGAAACCTTCACAAGTTCACAATATTTGTGTACTGTTTTTAAAATATTTGTGTACTGTTTTTAAAATATTTGTGTACTGTTTTTAAAAGTCCAAAAAAAGTCTCTCACTTATTTTATTATATATTTTCCATGCTAGACAAGCTGTAAGCCTGTAAGGGAAAACCTTACCTTGAATTTGTGTCCTGAACTTGTCTCAAGGATCGGAGCAGAATCATGGATCAGGATTACATCGTTTCCCTAAATAAATAAATAACTAAATATACACAATCTGACGCGAATACCTAACAAAATATTTCCAAATATTCCTTTAAAACTAAAGCTAGAAAATTTTATTTTGCAGCTTTAAAGTATTAATATCCATAGAAAAAGATAGATTGCGCATAAGACGACATTTTTCAT